AACTCTTAGAAAAATTGATGGTAAGATATTATGTTATAAAGCTAGAAGTACAGATATACGACGTAGATGCAACATGGAGAACATCAATGATTGGGTAAGAAATAGAAGGGTGGAATCTAACGATCATATACGCCGACAACATATAGAGTAGTAACGATGGTGGGAGACGGTTCCCCAATAGGAAGGCGATCAGTAGGAAGACCACGAAACGTTGGAACGACAATTTACTGGAGGTACATTAAAAATAGAGTCGTGTCTACATAAAAAGAAGAAGACTATATAGTTTTGGATCCTACACATATCCCATATTTTCCCATCCGTACATGAATTCCCGCAGTTTAATCAGTATTGTATCATTTAAAGGCCCAGTACACATTTAGCCAACTAGTGGAGCCAATGAGTTGATTCAAGAACAGTGATTACACGTTGGTGCAGTTGCCCAGTCTGCACTGACCTCTCATGGCGAGTACACTGTGATTATGGAGGTGGATACTATAGCAACCAGCGCAATTTATTTTTACAGCGTTTTCAAACCAAAGTGATTAAAAAATAAACTTTAAAACTTCTTCCCTATCACAAACTGCCATTGTAGCTAGTAAATAGACTTTTTATGCTGCAAAAATATACAACAGTACGGGAGAAAAGAAATAACTCAACGACTAAAGTGTGAACGCTGCTTTGGCAGATCGCGACAAAATTCTTTGACAAGACCAAATGTACAAGAAAAACTGACAACATTCGGTTTGTAGACCAATGCTGGCAACCAATCCCGTTACGCCAAGTGCTTCTGTACGCGTTGACCCAATTCATTGGCCCAACTAGTTGGCCAAATGTGTATAGGGGCCTTAGTGCAAGTAATTCAAAATATTGTGGGATGTACAGTATATCAACGTCTCAATCTGATTTTGAAAAAGTTATTTTCCTACTAGGTACCGCGGTAATTTTGTTCTTTCCATTTCATGAAAGATTTTCTATATGATTTTTAGTCCATTTAACAACACCAAATGATAATTAAGTACAGGATATGCATATTTATTGTATTGTCTTTATTTGCTTGTTATAATACTTTTATTTTTGATTATGTAGACAACTATTTAATTTTCCTTTTTACTAATGTATCAAAATAAATCATATTGTGTAATCCGATAGAAAATAATCGGACTCGCTTATATTATGTATATCCCCAACCTACAGTGTTGCTATAAAAACAAATAGTTTCAATTCGTTGCAAAATATCAACCTACAACTCCAAAAATAACCCCGACTATTATTGCAAAAAGAGGTCAACTGTGTGAAATGTATGCTTGCAATTTATTTTTTTTTTGTAAGTGATATACGATATACTGTTAAGAAAACCTTTCTTTTTTGTTTCTTTGAACAGAACAATTAACTTGAGGTATTACCAACAAATATAGAATATTTAATATTACCGACTTCGTTATCTAACTTGCGTTGTTATCGTCAATCTACACGTCTAAACAGTGGCACATAGTTTAAGCGATGCAGTCGCTACTCAATAAAACTAGCTTGTGTCATTTTCATCAACATTTTCAATTTATTTTAATCAAGTTTAATTTTTTTTGAAAAATTGAAAAAGAATCTGATTCGCCGATAACATCAGAATCCTCTTCATTATCATCATCGACAGTATTGACGTTCGACCTGTTTAGGTTCGGTGTTACTGGAATTAAAATTGTCTCTGCGTCCGTCGTCGGAAAATGGCAATATTTTTTTCTTGACTTTTGACCGACTACAGCTGATAAGAAGATCGGATGTCAAAAGTAATCTATTTTAAAAGTCTCTGTTACCCTCAGTACTCCTAGAGAATTTTCGTGAAAAGTCCACCTGATATTTGAGAAAATGCTTATTACATGCTTCATTGGCCTTCTCGGTTAATTGTCCTATTGCTTATTACGTGGTCTCTTTTAGACAAAATAATCCTTCTGATCTTCTAGGCTTTCGTCGATGTTGAAGTTATTTCTTTGTTCATTTTTTAAGTACGTTTGTGCCTGGAAGTGCCCTGACTTATACTTGCAGTGAAAGTCAACTCCTCGACAGGTACGTAATCCCGTAATTTTTCAGTTCCCTGCTGCTTGCTGCTTTCAATTAATTTGTGGAAATATATGACCGGGCTTGACTGATAACTACGAAAGCAGCTCTAATGATAAGCCATTCTTTAACTTTTTCAAAAATCGTTGTTCTCGTTGCAAGTTGCCGTCCATTTCTGCTCAAAACTTGTCTTGAAATACCTCAAAGAACGAGACAAAAGATTCCTATCCACCCTTGGGCATAACGTTAGCTGAGCAAGTCTTTCTTGTTTCTTCTTATTCTATTTTAGCTTATCCCTTTTTAGAGGTCGGTATTCCTTACTCTTCTTCGCCAGTTATTTCTGTCCATTGTGTCTTCTTCACCCCTACCTTTCTGTCTCAAGACCACTGCCACAAAGTTCTTTCATCTTCTACTCGGATTTTCTTTTCTTTGAACCAATTTGGGATATAATATAGTTTCCATCGGGTGATAGTTTTTCCACATGGGAAACTAATCGATATCCTAAAAACATCAGGACTCGATGGTAAGGATATAGGACTGATCTCAAACTTATATCTCCAACAAAAACCAACAGTACGATTAGAAATTGAACTGTGAAATTGAAAATTGTTAGACAGGGTTGCATATTGTCACCGTCATTATTTAACTCTGAAAACATCTTTAGATGGGACTTGGACGAATCAGAAGATGGGATTGCTGTAAACGGCCCACTTATAAATAATATTAGATATGCAGACGATACAGTGTTGCTGGCAGATAGTATACAAGGGCTCCAAAGGATGATGGATAACGTTGTAGAAGCATGTAACAAATATGGCCTAAGACTAAATTGCACAAAGACAAAAATAATGATCATTAGTCAGAACACCAACATAAACGCCCAAATTACAATAGGCGATACACCGTTAGAAAGAGTGGAAAAAATATGCTATTTAGGCTGCAATATTAAGGATACTTGGGATGACAGCTACGAAATAAAAAGCGAGAAGCTCTTTCAACAGCCTTAGGACGATTCCGTTCAATTTATCTTTAAGTATACGCATACGAATTCTTAGATGTTACGTCTTTAGTGTCCTCCTCTATAGAGTAGAAAGCTGAAGCCTAACAAAAGATGCCATAAAACGATTAGAGGTATTTGACATGTGGAACTACCGACGTATGTTGAGGGTCTCATATATACACCACACAAGTAACATAACTATTCTCCAGAGGGTAAGAAAAGGCAAAGAGATTATTTAAACCATAAAAAAACAGAAAATTGACTTACTTCAGCCACATCATGCGGAATGATAAATACCGACTTATACACAGTTGATTCTACAAAGCAAGATTGAGTGTAAGAGAGGCCCTGGAGGGAGACGTATATCCTGGCTGGCCAATCTTAGGAAGTGGTCTAACGTCAACTGATCTATTTCGAGCTGCTGTAAATAGAATAAGATGGGTCAATGTGGTTGCCAACATCTCTAGAAGATAGGCACATTTAGAAGAAGATAGTTTTCACCATTTCCTGAGTACCTGCGAAAAAAATTATAAACATTGTATTTTTTAAAACCTATATAATAAAAATTAAAAATGGAATGGGTTTGGAGACAATGTAATTGCTTGTTCGGTTAGAAAAAACTTCGAACTTTATTACTATAATTAAAATGTACTGAAATTGGCAAAATAAGTTTAAATGAAGAAATAAGTTGAAACTTAAGGAGAAATTAACTCTAATAGATTATAATACAAACTACTTAACTTCAACTCCCATATTCAAGAAGAAATTTTCTGGTAATCCACCTTTTTTTTTCTTGTGCCCTGCTCGATTATCGTGCATAGTTATCAAATTGACTATACTAATCATAGATAAATAATATAATATTAGAAAATACTAATTTTGTTGACGAGAGCTCAGAAAAGCAATGCAGAGGATCTGTTCTCTCAGATTATTAAGTCATCACATTCTATCTATCAGCCATCTATTCTAGAGTATCATATTCTATATCTATCTTGCCTTGTGTGAATAAATGAAGTATATTATATCTCTCTAGTTGACGCATAACATGGCCAACACATTCCAGTTTACGATTTTTGACTTTTTTGACCACTAACCGTAATCCAACACAAGACGACATAATTTTTTTTTATTGGGTTTAGTGCGTCGACAACTAATGGTCATTGGCATGGTACAGTGAATTTTTACAGTCAGGTACCTAGTGTATAGTGTAGTGTGTGTGTGTGTGTGTGTGTGTAGAGTGTAGTGTGTGTGTGTAGAGTAATTGTCTTGTTACTTAGCAAAGTCGACGTCATTGTCTTTGTTAAGAGACGCTAATTGTATCCGAACGTCTGCGGTCCCTCCGGTGAGTACCGATCGCACAAGGATAGAAATTATTTTCATTTATTAATTTTTATTAAACGAAAATTTCTCCACCCAGAGGGGGTTGTTTTATATTTGTTTATTCACCGTTTTGATTTTTTTTCTCTTCTCTCTTCCCCATTCATAAGTGTAACTTTCACTTGACTACTGATAGATCAAGTAAATTAATGTATTTATTCAAAAATACTCATTTTAATGCGTGTTTAATTACATACTTAAAATAACGAATTATGTATATTAAACTTCATCAATAAAAAATTAACATCCAATCATATTTATATATTTATATTTTTTTGCTTAGTTACAAATGAAGCAAAAGTTGTAATGTTAATTGTAATCATCCTTGGCTGGATTACTGAAAAATGCTAAAAAATATAAAACCGATATCCGATTTATAACCTCATAATTTTTAAGTCACTACAGCATTACTTTTGACAATGTTTTGACACAACTACTAACTAAATTTCAGTACATAATGGGAATAGAAATACACAACCAATAGTACAAACAATGGTAAATGACATGTAAACGACGTCTAAACTTATTTTGCATTTAAAAATACTATAATCTAAATATTATTGTCTAATTGCAGGTTTCCTTACCATGCCGTCCCTGCTAGAGGCCCTTGAACAAAAGTATGGCGAGAGTTCGACAGATTCGGATGGGTCCGAGGATGAAGGCATTTCTGTGTCCATATTTGTGCCTTGTAAATCTCCAAGAGCCGTCGTTCCGGCGCTCCTAGTTCTCAACGACTGCGATATTGCTACTGCCGGAGAAAAAGATGCCTTGGTCGCTAAATGTGCAGGTGTCGAAGAACTTGATTTGGCCAAAAATAAATTACAAGAATGGCCAGAGGTTGGTACACATTTTTTTCAAAATACAAAGATAAATTGCTCTAATACAATTTCTCTAACAACTAGTGTCACTTTCTATGATTTGATATACACGAATAATTTAGGTTTAAGGATATACAGAGGGGTATATTGCTACGTTCAGATAGTCTATTGTGTTTGCACTAGATTTTTATTTAGCCAATTTGTAGTAATAAGACTATAGTGTTCTGAGTTTTAGTGCCATCTTGAGTGATTCTCCTTTTATTTTGGATGTCCTAGGATTCAAAGTTACTGACGGGCAATTGCGTCATACAAGTACATAACATGTATTCCACCGACTCTTGTCTCTCTAGAATAGTCGACATGTACTTTGGATATACTCAAGTACTGAAAGTAGATAGTTGGTTTTTACCAGTTTTCTAACAAACTTCGTGGTGCTAGACATAACATTTCATGATCGTTTCAAAGAAATGAAGCTGCAAATTTGGACAGACGATCCACCGCCTCATTTATTTCCGTGTGCACATGAAGGTGAATCGAAGTGGTTTCAATGCTGTTAGTGTTCACTCTCAGGCGTATATATTTTTAAGCCTCTAACGCATGTTTCTATACTTGTTTTGTCTGAAAGCCCTAGTCATTCATGTTAAGCTTTTGAAGAGGGTAATCTTTTTTCCCACGTCAGCTTTTCTATTTAATCTCTTAAGCTGTATACTAAACTAACGAGCACATCTCAAACTCATAACTTTACGAATTCTTCATTTGGGTACTTGAGAAATTGATTAATGTTACGCTCATCAGCAAGTCTGACGTACCAAGAACCAAATGTACTCTGTGAATAAGGTTCAGAATTTTCTTACGCTTTACGCGTTCAAAAAATCAGAGTCTCTCATCTCTATGGAACCAAGACATAACTCTAGTAGTGTTCTTCTTTTTCTTTTATAAACCTTTACATCGGCTGATGCTTATACATTATCAGAGACATAGTAAATGGTGTCACAGCCATATAGCAGATCCTGGACCTTTTCAAAGCTATTTCGTTGGTCAGCACTCTACTTTATCAATCGTTATCAGTTTGCTGCACATACTTTTCTAACGTCTCAGTTTACACCATCCTTTCATCAAAGGTTGGTCTACCTCTCCATCTGCGATCTTCCATGCTGGGACATAGGAATTCGCCTGAAGAGTTGTTCTGATGTGTCCTTGTGAGATGTCCTGCCTAGCTTAGTCTTCCTATTTTTTTTGTAAGATACTACATATTTCTCTTTGTCAACCATTTTCCATCCACTCCTGAATGTAGGTCTCTCCCAATTGCTTCCATCTTTCTCTATCTTGCGCCAATCTAATCCACTGTTTGCCTGCCACTGCTCTTATGTCACCTACCCATGTTTTTTGAGGTCTTCCCATGCTTCTTGTTGTCGTCCTTGGTCTCCACTCTAGAATTCTTCGTGTCAACCTGTTGTCATTATATCGGACTACGTGACCTGCCCAGCGCCATTTCATTTTTGTAATTTCTTCCACAATATCCCTAATCTTCGTTCTATGTCTTATATTGGTGTTTCTAATCTTGTCTCTCAATGATATTCCAGGCATGATTCGTTCCATTGCTCTTTGCGTTGTTTCTAATTTTTTAGGAGATTTTTTATTAAGGGCTGCTGTCTCCAAGCTGTAGATACAAACTGGTAGTATGCATGTGTTATACACTTTTTTCTTTAAGTTTACAGGAATGGAGGTGTTTTTCAAGATATATGCTAGTTTGCCGAAAGCGCCCCATGCCAGTTGTGTTCTTTTAATTTCAGCATCTTGATTTTATTTTCCTAGTTTGGTGACATGACCTAGATATAAATAATGTTCATCATTTTCTATGGCATGATTTTGTATTGTTATATTTGTCTGGTCTCGGCACTACATATTTACCACCAGATAACTCTGCATTGTGGTATATCTCATAGTTATACTTCCTCCTCCAAATCCCCTTTTCATAGATGTCACTGAATATTTCCTCTCAGGATCCTTCGTTTAAATAAATCTGAACAGAAGATTTTAATCTACCTTGGAGATGGTACATATTTCCGATCCATATATCAGCACTGTTAGTGTAAGGGTTTTGTATATATGGTTATTTTTATTTTCTGGCTTAAGTTTCTGCTTTTTAAGAGTGTACTCAGCCGAGACTAGCACTTGTTTGCTAGATTTATCTTTTATTTGATTTCTTCCGTTATGAGTTCTCGTTGCTCACCAGGATAATTAAATGTACGAATTTATTTACCACTTAAAAGCTAGAATTATCAAAAGTGAATTAATGATGATGAGATCATTTTGATGTTTCTCTATTTATTTCCAAGCTCTTCTTTTTAAGACAGTGGAGAAACTGTTATACATTTCTTCTACATTAACTACGTAGGTCATGTACTGCCAACTAATAATAATATATCATGATTGAGCGTGTTTCAAACGCTTATGATTGTTTGTCCTGAATTTCTTGTTTACAAAGAACTTTACTCATTGTAGCCCCCATCAGTTTTATTAGTTTATTAAAGATGTAGAATTCGGCCATGTCTTTACATAATTTACTTCGTAGCACGCATTATAAGTTGATTTAAAATCTATGAAAACGTGGTAGGTGTTAATATTGACGTTCTTGATTTCTTTCAGTATTTGCCTTAGCACAATTTAATATTCGCCATGAAACTCATCTAAATATGCAATTATTTAACCATATAAGATACCCAAAATATTTTGTATACTCTGTTAAGGAGGGTTATTCTCGTATAACTTCTACAATCCAACTGACCACCCTTTTTGTGTAGTGGGCATATAATTGTAGTATACCACGAAACCACGAATTGCACGAAAAGTTGCTGCTAATCCATCAACGAAGGTAAGAGTTTGGAGGAGGTTATCCAATGGTAAGACTTATCGACATTGTGGAGGGTCTGGACGTCCTAGAATATTGCAAGGCCGTGTATAATGTAGTCTTTAATCGTTTTTCAGACATTCTAATCGATACCAATATGATCCTTACTATCTACCTGATACATGTTCGGAGTAACGTTACCTTTCTATATCTATTTTAATAATAACTATATAAAACAAGCATTTTTGTACAAAATATGTCAAAAAACCTTAATATTTTATCATGTTTTGCTAATTTTCTTATTTATGTTTTAGGTTTTTGGCATCCTAGAACAAATGCCCCGCCTTAAATTTGTAAACTTAAGCTTTAACGTACTTTCCACTCCTCTTCGATCAGAGGTGGAGCTGAACAAAGAAACAAAGTGGCAGCAACTTAAAAATTTAGTTTTAAATTCTACATATATTAGTTGGGACAGTGTACAAGAAATCCTTGATCATTTACCTAGCCTAGAAGAATTACATTTAAGTCTAAATGAATACAGCAATGTTCATCTTCATGATGACAAGTCAAAAAACTGTGATAGTGTTAAAAACGATAACGAAACCCAAGAAGAAACGCTTCCTCAAACGTGCTTATGTACTCCATATAAACTAAAGCACAAACATTCGAAACTGAGAGTTCTCCATTTCAACGGTAATCCTGTAGAGGAGTGGAAAGAGGTAACAAAACTTGGGTACGCTTTTCCTAACTTAGAGACTTTAGTATTAGCGGACTGTCCTATAAAAGCTCTAGACTTAAACGGAGAAGCAGTCGGATCAAATATGAACTACGAAAGATCGGAAAGCACCTGTGAATCTTGCACTGATAAAGATTCTCCGCACGATAGTTTTAGGAACTTAAGAGTTATTAACATGAATTCTACCAATATTACCACCTGGGATGACATAGAGAAATTGGCTAGGTTCCCAGCTTTAGAATGTCTCAGAATTCAGGTAAATATATTAAAATTTTCAAAATAATGCATTATAACTTTTTGGGGAGGTATAGCTAAGGTAAAAATCAGATAATATATGCTCGAATTTAAATAAAAAAAATTCGGTTCAAACACAATTACAACTGTTTAATATCGTGGGTGAAAATGGCCATCAATAGGACGACTTCTATTGATCGTAAATGTTGACTACTTCATCGGTTTATTGAATATGTTTCGCCTTTTTTATTCTTAAAAGATTCTTCAGTTCACTACAAATATAAGTACACGACTACAATTTTGGATTACTATACTTACAAAACAATCTGTAGTCTTTCAGGTGTTTTAGAAACTGTAAATTTACTTAATGTAGAGCAAATATCTTATGGGTGGTCATACCCTACACTGTGGGAATTGATGAAAAGAAATTTAAAAAAAATATATACGGGGTTCGTGGAATAATTTGTTCGAAGAGATGTTGTGAATGGCGGAATATATTATACTATTTGTTGGGTGTGGATATAAGGTTTGATCTAATTCTTATTTAGTGTGTAAGATGGAAGCATACACTGATCCTTCCTATACTCACGTATCGTTCACAAACGTGGACATTGACCAAGTCACCGAACAAATGGATTAGAAGCAAAACCAAAGTAAAAGACGCAGGAGAACATACTGCCAAATTAAAATGGAGCTCCGCAGGACACAATGTCCGACTAAAGGATAAGAGATGAAACCACGAAATACAACAATGAAGACCATGGTTAGGAAAGAGATGTAAAGGAAGACCACAAATGAGAGGGGCTAATGACATTAAGAAGATTGGAGGACACAATTGGCTCAAAATAGAAAACACTGAATTGATTTGGAGGAGGCCTATGTCCAAATTTGGATTACTTAAGGCTGAAGAAAAAGTGTAAGATGAGAGAGTGATAAATCTGGCTCAAATTGTCAATGTCAGTTCGTTTATTAATTTCGCTGATGGATGTTTAAGAATATGGCACACATCTCTTATGATAATTTCGTGATGTGAGGTCGATTTCATGTCCGGTTGGCATGGCATGTTGTGCTAGAACACACGAGCGTCTGGAAATTCTAATTTCGCTTTTATGAGAGGTTAGAGGATCTTGAAGAGAGCGGCTGGTCTGGCCAATGTAGCAGGAGTTACACTCTACACAGGGTATGTGATAGACAACATTAGTATGTTCTAAAAGGGTCAATGGAGTTTTGGTCTTTAAAAACATCCTACAGTTCTGGTGTTTTTAGGGTTATTGTAATGAGTAAACTTTCGAAGAGTTTCGTGAGCTTATTAGTGGAAAGTACGGGAGAGAAGCATATTTTGTGGAACGTTCTGGGGTAGACGGAAATTAATCAACTGTATGTTATCAGAAATTAACGCTGATTTTTCGCCATTGGGGTCTCCTCAAATAGAATGCCCGTAATTTTTAGAAAATATATATTTATTAATGATAGTAATGTGATAGGAGTTATTAATGAGGATTGACTTGAGCTAGATTCAGAGATTCATCTTTATATAGCGAATGTCTCTACGTTTGTACTCTAAGACTAAGGGCTTGTACTAGGTTATGTTTATATCTGGTTGTGTGTGCAGAGTGGTAATTTAAGAAACAGTTCTAGCCATTTCTTTTCTGTACCACGTGGTGCTCAGTGTGTTATACTGTGTGCAAATGATTCGCAATTCACATGTAAATTGGAGGTGAGGATCAAAGCTATTAAAAATTAATAAGGTGTTTAAAATCTTATCAGGTGTTATTGATAGAAAAGAAAGAACAATTACAATTACAGTGATAACTTTTTTTATTTTAAATAGTTTCCTAACTTTTTCAATATACATAGTGACTGATTCAGTCTTAATATTAGAAAATAGTTGTGACTAATTCTTTAAAAATTATTAGTTTCAAATATTCACCATCAACCATGTTGTAGGCTTGTCCTTTATGGGAAAGCAATGAATATACTGAACACGAAAGGCGACAACTAGTGATAGCCAGGCTACCAAATGTAAAAACGTTAAATGGTGGTGGAAAAATAACCGCTGATGAACGGGAAGATGCAGAAAGGGCTTTCATCCGATATTATATGGACAAACCTGAAAGTGATCAACCGGAAAGGTAGGTTAGGAGAAAAGCAATAATATTTCTAATTTGACCTAACCTCGTATAACTTTGCTTTCATAAATATAAATTTAAACCGTTATTTTGTAAATATTGTTTATTTATATATTATTAAATATTGTCACATTTAATATTATTTTATATATCTAAATTATTAACACCAAGTAAGGCATTATTCTATAAAAGTCCAATATTAGCTTGTCTCTAAAGTTATCTTAAAAAATAGGGCTGTTACAAACAAAATACCTACATTCTGAAATCAGAGCATCAAAACTGTTTTAATTCAGTTGTTACTTCTCCAACACCAAAGTCGCTGTTTACGGTGTACTCTTCATCATCACGGTGCTACAGTTCTTAAAGGGTCTCGAACTTTATAGCGGTAATATCCTTTCTACCAAACTTATGCTTATAGATATCCTGCATTTCAAAGTTATATCTACGCCTTCATATTTCATTTTTATAGACCGGTCCTTTAATGACTTTGTTTCAAAACTCGATGGAGAAGATTCGTGGGTTTTGATTGGGGTCCATGCCTTAGATCCATATGTGAGAACGGGGACTATCAGTGTTCTATATAGTTTTATACAGAGTTTTTTTGAGACAGACGTTTGTTAGCTAACTAATTTGATAGACCGTGATAGTACCTACACATTTGCAATTATGATCCACTGTTTTCCCCTGATATGTTATTATTGGGTTTAATCGATGTCCCTAGATATTATATGAACTCTTCAACCACTTCGAAATTTTGGTTATTAACAATTAGATTTGCGTCAGTATTTCCTGCTTTCGGTGTTAGTCGGCATGCATTATTTCTTTTATTTATATGTAATCCCATTCATTCTGCTGATGCTACTAGCTCTTTTAGCTCTTTACTTCAAATTTACAAACTATTTTTTTCATTACATTGATGATATGCTTGCCACCGTGTTTAAATAACTCTACTGGGATTCCATCGCTGCCTGGAGATTTGTGTTTTCTTTTTTAAATATTTTCACCTGGTTTACCAAGGTGGTTCCACAAATTCCTTATTTCGGTATTCTTGTTCTATGTTTTAAGTAGATGTCCTTTTCAGCAATTGTGTAATCTAAAAGACAAAAAGTTTAGTTAGACAGATTTAAGGAAAAATGCAAAAAGGCAAATAAATTGAAAAATAATAGGATAGGATGTAATATAATAAAACAATATTGTTCTGAAGCTATTTTCTTGTAGCTTTTTAATATAATTTACTGTTAAACAGGTTCCTGTCGAATTTACTCTAAATTCTGCCCGCGAAGACCAGTCCCTCTATATTCGAATTTTCTAAAGATCTCACATCAATATCATATATATCTACGAAAAAAAAAGCTTCTTCTTCTTTAAATGCCGTCTCCCAATCGGAGGTTGGATATCATCATCACTATCTGTACTTTATCTACTGCTGCTCTAAAGAGTTCTATAGAACTTCATTTAAACCAGTCCCTTAAATTCTTCAACCATGACAGTCTCCTTCTTCCTATACTCCTTCCTGCTCTTATCTTTCCCTGTATTATTAGCCTTGGCAATTCATATTGCTGTCCCCTCATTACGTGTCCCAGATATTGTAACTTTCTTATTTTTATTGTGTTTATTATTTCGCATTCTTTGCCCATTTCTTGCAATACTTCCGTGTTAGTTTTATTCTGTATCCATGCTATTCTAACCATCCTCTTGTAACATCACATTTCAAAGGACTGTAACTTTATGTGTTCTCGCTTCAATGTCCAGCTTTCAAGTCCATATTTCAGTATCGAAAACACGTAGCATCGCAGTGCTCTTACTCTCGGTTCTAATCTAAGGTCTTTGTTGCAGAGAATTGTTTTCATTTTTACAAATGCGTTTCTTGCTATTTCTATCCTGGCTCTTATTTCGGTTGATTTATCATTATTGTCTGAAATCCAGGTTTCTATGTATTTGTATTTATCAACCCTTTCTATTGGTACATTTCCCAAATGTATGTTTGTTGGTATATTTGTTTTCTTTATTATTATCATGTATTTGGTCTTTTTTATATTTATTTTTAGTCTATATTTGTCACTGAAACTGTTTTGTTTAACAGTAATTGGAGTTGTTCAGCAGAGCTTGCTATAATCACGGTGCCATCTGCATATCTTATGTTGTTAATAGATTTTCCGTTAATTATTATTCCTTCACTTTGAGGACATAATACATCCCTGCCTCACTTCTCTCCTGATTTCAATTTCTGGACTGGGTTCGTTATCTATTACGATTTGTGCTCTTTGATTTCATTAGAGGTTTGTTATTATTCGTAAGTCCCTATGGTTTGTATTGTTTTTTTCTTTAGAATTTGGACTAATTTTTCATGTCTTACATTGGCAAATGCTTTTTCAAAATCAACGTAGCAAACATGCACATCAACATTCATATCCATGCATCTTTGAGCTAACACATTAAAAGCAAATAACGCTTCTCCGGTTCCTAGTCCGTCTCTGAACCCAAACTGACTATCGTCTATTCCTTCTTCTAGTTTTTTATTTATCCGACCATGTGTTATTTTCAAGAATAATTTGAGAATGTAACTTACTAGTGATATTGTTCTGTATTCACTGCAATATTTAGCGTTTGTATTTTTAGGTATAGCACAAAAGGTGGAGAGTAACCATTGTTTCGGTATGTGTCCTGTTTTGTATACTGAGTTAAATAAGTCTACTATAATATCTAAGGTTTCATCATTTATGCATTTTAAGATTTATATAGGGATTTGGTCTAGACCTACTGCTATACCATTTTGGCTGTTTTTTAATGCCATTTTAATTTCCTCTTTTAATATCTTTAAAACCATATATTTTTCTACTTCTATCTCCATCTGCTCTGTTCTATTGTCTTTGAACAGTTCATTGAAGTATTCTGTCCATCTCTTTAATTTGTCGTTAGTATTCAACACAAATTTCCAATTTGCATCTTTCATTATTCCCGGTTTTCTTGTTCTATTGTTGTGAGTTAATTCTTTAATTTTTTTATGTGTGTTGAAACTATCATGTCTTTTCTGGTATTATTCTCTTTCTGTGCATTTACTTTTAACCATTGTTCTTTCGCTTTCTTAAGCGAAAGAACAGACTTTCTTCCGCTTTCTTAAAAAAGAAAGCAGACATTGTTTTATTAACACAATTTCATAGCCACGAAATATCATCCGATGAAAAAGCAAAACGTAAGCCTGAAATTATTTTACGTTTTGTTTATGTTGGAAATATAAACATTGCTGGATAATTAATTAAAGCAGTAAAAAGTTAAATGCATGTGGTTGTAAATATAAGAATAATAAATTGGCAAATCTCATAAATTATTAGTAGCAACAGAGTGATCACTTACTTCTGGTTGTAAATAATGGCAGCAATAGCTAAGAAGAAAAATCGTTTGTCTCGTCGTCTTACCAGGATGTAAATAAATAGTGTTTGCGAGACGCAGGTTGTAATAATTCTCTCGGTGAAAACTATACTATTAGCCTGTTGCGCTTGCTCGCTTAAAGATTTCTATGCGTTTTAAGCACGAGATACTCGCTCGTGGCAACTTTTGGTTAACTTCTACTCTCTTGGGCGTGGAAAGAGGCTATGAGAACTTACAAAAAGTCGAATCGTACCCCGTTTAAGAGACGTAGTTATAGAGTTAATAGCCTCATTTCTGATTAGCTCGAACGTTTTGGTATATATAAGAAGCTCCCAGCTTGCAACTCTTATTAAATACAGACTGCCAATTTTACCGTTGGAAATTTAAAGAAGATAATAACATAATAATTAAGATAAACAATGAAACACGTAATTAAATAAGTACTTAACTAAATAAGGCAACAGATTCAAAATATTAGGAATATTAAGTATTGTTATTGGAAGTTATTGAAATGACTACACTCAATGCCTACATTATATTTACTAAAAAGTTTCTTTACAAAACTTGGCACAATAACTTGGGTTTCCGAACGTTCTAAATCGGAAACAAAATAGGAATAATTTAAAAAAAAACTATAAAAACTGCAATAGGTTTATTTCTTGCGAACTACGGTGTCACAGGTTCCGAAAATCCTGCTGCAGAGATTAATCATTATACAAATCGAATATGTAGTTTTTGTGTCAGATTTTCAAATTATTTTTCAGGAGGTTTTCAGGACGATTCCTCATGATAATATATATATATATATATATATATATATATATATATATATATATATATATATATATATATATATATATATATATATAACAGACAATTGAAGGTAACCGGGAACGACCCAATACTAAGGAAGCAATAAAAAACAGGTGCTTCAAAGTGAGTGTCTTTTATTAGTAGTCAAGCTTTCGCCACATAATTTTTGGGCTTCATCAGAACTTGCTGTAATGGAAAAACATTCTTTACAATCATCGTAATTAAAGATGTTATATTTAATATTACCTTAACGTTGACACTATTTCTTAGTGTAAATTATTGCAGATGTGGAACTACACATTGTTTTTCAAATACAAACCAAAACGCATCTCCTACTTAGAGGTAGACGGCAAACAAAGCTTAAATTAAATAATTATTAAATTTGTTATATTTTAATCACCATGTGGCCGGTATTATTTTTGACAAGACATTGATTAATTCAGTCATGTGTCATATCGACTGTCACTTATCGATACGGCACCTGTCTTAATTAATTCTTCTTTTTGTTGGTTATAAGACACTACCTTTCTTCAGTCACATTATTATGGCTGAATAATGAATTTCGTTTAAAATCACAATTAAAATTGAATATATGTATACACACATATATACATATATATACCCATATACACATATATACACATGCACACACACATACGCATGTATATAGTTCCCGTTCTATATGAGCATATCATGTTTAAAATTCTTTTGGTTTGTATTTAGTGTTGTATATAGTGGTCAACACTCCGGTAAGATGTATGTATTACATACCTTCTGTTAGAGAACTAAGTGTATCATGATGCTGATGGATGTAAAAATAAAACTAAAAGTTGGAGCTTGTTCTCAAAAGGGAGGTAATACATCCGGATAGATGTTAGTGTATATCACAGATATTTCGTTGTTTTTTTATACATTCATTTATGTTAGTAGTATAAACACAATATGTCCAAAGAAGGGTCGGACATTTACAGATATGCTAAGATTTAACAATAGACAATATAGTCTAGTTGACTGAACATAAAATATAAAAAAGGAAAAACATTCTTTGTATATGACGTTAAGTTGTAAAATGTTTTTGTTTTTATTTAAAATTATTAACATATTGACTTGTAAGTTAAATTAATTATACTTTTATTCAATTTAACTTACAAGTCAATATGTTAATAATTTTAAATAAAAACAAAAACATTTTACAACTTAACGTCATATACAAAGAATGTTTTTCCTTTTTTATATTTTATGTTCAGTCAACTAGACTATATTGTCTATTGTTAAATCTTAGCATATCTGTAAATGTCCGACCCTTCTTTGGACATATTGTGTTTATACTACTAACATAAATGAATGTTATAAAAAAACAACGAAATATCTGTGATATACACTAACATCTATCCGGATGTATTACCTCCCTTTTGAGAACAAGCTCCAACTTTTAGTTTTATTTTTACATCCATCAGCATCATGATACACTTAGTTCTCTAACAGAAGGTATGTAATACATACATCTTACCGGAGTGTTGACCACTATATACAACACTAAATACAAACCAAAAGAATTTTAAACATGATATGCTCATATAGAACGGGAACTATATACATGCGTATGTGTGTGTGCATGTGTATATATGTGTATATGGTATATATATGTATATATGTGTGTATACATATATTCAATTTTAATTGTGATTTTAAACGAAATTCATTATTCAGCCATAATAATGTGACTGAAGAAAGGTAGTGTCTTATAACCAACAAAAAGAAGAATTAATTAAGACAGGTGCCGTATCGATAAGTGACAGTCGATATGACACATGACTGAATTAATCAATGTCTTGTCAAAAATAATACCGGTCACATGGTGATTAAAATATAACAAATTTAATAATTATTTAATTTAAGCTTTGTTTGCCGTCTACCTCTAAGTAGGAGATGCGTTTTGGTTTGTATTTGAAAAACAATGTGTAGTTCCACATCTGCAATAATTTACACTAAGAAATAGTGTCAACGTTAAGGTAATATTAAATATAACATCTTTAATTACGATGATTGTAAAGAATGTTTTTCCATTACAGCAAGTTCTGATGAAGCCCAAAAATTATGTGGCGAAAGCTTGACTACTAATAAAAGACACTCACTTTGAAGCACCTGTTTTTTATTGCTTCCTTAGTATTGGGTCGTTCCCGGTTACCTTCAATTGTCTGTTATTTACCAGTAACCCGTTACTGTCCTTGATATTTTTTTATATATATATATATATAATATATATATATATATATATATATATATATATATATATAAACCATAAATTTATTTAATATTTGATTTTGTTTTTAGGTACTTCGAGCTGATACAGATCCACGGAAAATTAGACCCTCTGGTAAATGTTGATTTACGTCCAGAGAAGAGAGTCAAAGTAAACTTTATATGTGGTGATATTAGTGAAATTAGATCACTCGACTTATTCCGTACAGTATGGGACCTTAAGGTTAAGTTAGAACCGTTTGCAGGATTTTCAGCATCCAAGATGAGGTTGTTTTACATCGATCAAGATCTCCGAGATATTCAGGTACCTATATAAAATAGAAAGTATACCTACAATAAAATTAAAATGTATTATATAGCACAAAACAGTAGCGCACCTAGAATTGTCCTCTGGGGGGGAGGGTTTGGTTGGGCACCGAAATTTTTTTATGCTACCTCCACCATTTTAAGTCCTTAAAAAATTTGTGAATAACAGTGTCGGAATAGGGTCCTTGGGGGGGGGGTTAACACCCAAAACCCCCCTGGGTGCGCCACTGGCACAAAAGAAACTTAAATATTATATTCTAATTATATTTTTAAATTAATGTTAAATTTTTAAAGAAATCGAAGTATTTTAGACATTTACAATTAAATAACCTGTGGTTGTATTTCTTATCTAATAAGAACATACACGTCTTAAATTGTCGATTTATTCGGCGCGTTGGAAATAATATCGGTAGACTATTTCTAGGAAATTTAACTTAATATTAAAGAAAATAAATGAAACGTCAATAAACTAACTTCAGTTCAGAACAATATTAATATTACTTCTGAAACTGTTTTTCCTGTGGCATGTCTAATTTAAATATTGTGTTTAAATATAGTTCAATCGCAATAACTGATTGTAATTAAATTACAGTTTCACATAAACATTTGACGTTTCGATTTATACTCTGGAAATGGTTCTCAAAAAAAAATATTTAAAAAATTGTGCGGAAAGTATAACCAATAAGTTCTGAACTTAGGTAATATTTAAAAAAGTGACTGTTGACTTAGTTGGCGTCGATCTTCTGGGCACTATCCTTCTTTTGGTAGAAAAACGAATAGAAGTTCTAACAATGTTGAGTGAGGACAATATAGACGCCTTGGTAAATCTTTTTAATGACATTTATGGGTCCGGTCAAGTACTACAGGATTGGCTTCAATCAACCTTTATACCAATCCCAAAAAAGCCAAACGCTAATAGTTGCGACCAATTCCGAATGATCAGCTTATTGAGCCAGGTCTTAACACTCTCCTTAAAGATAATTCAAACAAGAATATACAACAGATGTGAAAGAGACATTAGCTTCACACAGTTCGGTTTCAGACAAGGATTTGGCACAAGATAAGCACTTTATAGCTTAACTGTTCTACTTCAGAAATGCAGAGATTAGCAAAAAGATGGCTTCCTATGTTATAGTTATTATAGTAATTCTTGAACTTATGGAAGAACGAAGAAAGCAAAGTAAAAGATCTAAATAGATACATTATACAATACATTCAGAGAAACATCAGAAAGACAATTCGAGAGTCAAAAGACAAGTGACTCTCCAACTGTAAGGAAATAAAATATCTGGATAAAAACTATGATCGCTTTAATTTAAACAAAATAATCAAAGAAATGACAGGTTCTATAAAAATTACAAGATTAAATATCTTTAAAAATAATAAAGGAGCATGGACGTTATACGTTCATGTAAAGGAGATATTATTACTGATGTGAAGAAGAGATCGAAATGATATGTAATGATGAAAGAGAAGACTTGTGATTAGAAACTACAGAGGATACCGGACTACCAATATTACCAATATCCCATGATAGTATCATCTTCCCTCTGACTTGATCTACTACTTGTTGCAATTCGTCATCAAACATTTCCCTTGTTGTTTAAGACTTGCTGTTTTCTGGGCCGTATACTCTGATGATGTTCAGGTCTTCCTTCTTCATTTTTATTTCTTTTTGATACGTATTGACAGTCTTTGATGTGGTTTTGGTATCTTTGGTGTATTAGTAAGATTACACCTTATTTGGCCCTGTTTTATTTTGCTACTCCATTGTAGATTAGTATGTATTCACCTAATTTTATTTGTCCTTTTCCTTTTTTTGTCTCCTGTAGAGCGCAAATGTCTATTTGTTTCTCATTCAGCACTGATCTATTTGTTTCTCATTTCTGGGTTATTTCTTGGTACCTTGAGTTAAGCGATCGGATATTCCCTGTAGTAATTCTCATCTGAGTTTTGGATATTTTCTGCTTGTCCCTATATCTTGCCGTGGTCATCTTCATAGTATCAATTCTGTTCCGAGGCTGTACATTGTCTCTTTGAGTAATATTCGTTTTTACGACTGGTAAGTTGCTAACCTTGCCAATCACCCTCCACATTTTATCCGGGCTTGGGATGGGCTATGGTAGGCGGTTCCAATAGCTGGTAGATTTCCGGTAATCGGATAAGGTTTAACATAAAAGCTTGTAGATATGTTAAAAGGCAATGTTGTTCTTATATGTGTTGTTCTTACTCTGCTGCCGTTTTGTGCTCAGTTAATCTCTTTACTTGGTTGTTAAATTCACTCATATTTTACTACAATCTCTGCAGTTTACAGAACACTGGAACGTACTGGATTTCTGTTAATACTATGACATGTTTTGGACTACATTGGGCTTCATCAGATAGCGATAGAAATTTAAGACATATTTATAAAAAGAAATGCAGTATACTTTTCCACTTTACTAAGTTAATACGCTACATAGCGTTATTTGCTTTGTATGGCAGAAAATATACACAGCTATGTGTTACTAAAGTACATCATCATCATCAGTTGGCGCTACAGCCCTTCGTGAGCCTTGGCCTGCTTCAAAACATTCTTCCATCCTTCCCTATCGAGTGTCTGTCTTCTCCAGCCCCTCACTCCAATCTCCCTCAGATCTTCCTGTACATCGTCCAGATATCTGAGTTTAGGTCGCCCCCTTCTTCTTCTTCCGACCGGCCTGTTTAGCATAGTTATTTTAGTGGGATCACTCTCATCCATCCGCATAACGTGGCCCACCCACCTTAGGCGGTTTATTTTGATGGTCTTCACAATATCTGCATTCACCAAAAAGTCTATAGAGTTCAAAGTTATATCGCCTTCTCCACAGACCCTGTTCGTTTACTCCGCCAAATATGGTCCTCAATACTTTTCTTTCAAAGACTCGTAGTAACTCTTCATCTCGGGTCGTCATTGTCCATGTTTCCGATCCGTATGTGAGCACTGGGCGTATTATTGTTTTATAAAGTTTGCACTTTGTTGCTATTGACATACTTCTCGCTCTTAGTTGAGGGCCCAGGCCGAAATAACAGCGGTTAGCCACGCATATTCTTTTTTTTATCTCGTTGGATGTGTTATTTTTGTAGTCTACCAGTGATCCTAAGTAGCAGAATTCTTCTACCATTTCTATCGTTTCGTGTTGCACCTCTAAGTTATTTTGTTGAATTCTTGATATGGCCGGCATATATTTAGTTTTCTGGATGTTAATCAGAAGTCCGATGTTTTCTGCGGCATTTTTGATACGTGTGAAAGCCTCCACTGCTTCATTTTGGGTTCTTCCAATTATGACGATATCATCAGCGTATGCCATTATTTGTATACTACGGGTATATATCGTACCTTTTAAGTTTATTCCCGAATCTCTCATAACTTTTTCTAACGCTAGGTTGAACAGCGTGCACGATAGCGCATCTCCCTGGCGCAGTCCTCTGTTGGTTTTAAATGGTTTTGAAACATCCCCTTGTACGCGCACTTTACATTCGACTTTCATCATTGTCATTTTAATTAATTCTACCAAACCTTTTGGTATTCCTAATTCGATCATCGCCGAATATAATTGGGACCTGTCAATAGTATCGTACGCTGCCTTAAAGTCTACGAAGATGTAATGGCAGTCTATGTCGTACTCCGTCGTTTTTTCTAATATTTGTCTGATAGATGATATGTGATCAATGGTAGATTTGTTTTTCAAGAAGCCTCTTGATAGGATCCTATTATATTGTCAGTATACCGTGCCAGTCGTTCGTTAAGTATCAGGGACACAATTTTGTATGCTGTATTAAGAAGGGAAATCCCTCTAAAGTTGGAACATTCAATAACGTTTCCTTTTTTGTGTATGGGGCATATAATTCCAGTATTCCAATCTTCTGGTAACGCGCGTTCTTGCCATACCTGTATTAGTAGTTTGTGAAGGATGGTTACAAATGTTTGACCGCCACATTTAAATATTTCTGCTGGTGGGTTGTCTGCTCCGGATGACTTGTTTCTGGCTAGAGACTGAATTGCTTGTTTATTTCTTCCAAAGTTGGTAGTTCAATATCCTCGTGTTCTATTTCTATATCATATCTACCTTCAGCTCTACTTTCTCCATTAAGTAGCGTACTAAAATGTTCCTGCCATCTTTCTAGTACTTCCACTCTCTCGTTTAAAAGAATTCCGTTAAGGGCCTTGACTTGGTTCGCTTGTGGTTTGAAAACTTTTCTTTTTGTGTTAACCTGTTTGTAAAATTTTCTGTATTCGTGTTCTCTATTAAGGTTTTCGATTTCTTCATACTCTTTATTGATTTGTTGCCGCTTTTTCTGTTTGTGTTTTTGTTTTTCCTCTCGTCTCTTTACTCTATATTCTTCAACATTGCTCCTAGTCCTTTTGTTGATCATTTTCATATACGCGTCGTTCTTCTCTTTCGTTACTCGTTGGCATTCCTCATCAAACCAGTTGTTTCGCTGTCCTTTGGGTACTCCACCCAGCACTTCCTCTGCGGTCTCTTTGAGCGTGGTTTTCATAAACTCCCAATTTGTGTTAAGTTCAGTGGGATATACCTGTTCCGATATTTTACGATCTAAGCATATTTGGAAGTTTCTTACGACTTCGGTACACTTTAATTTATCAACATTATATTTGATTATTTTTGGTTTAGTTTTATCGTTCCTGGCGTTTGATATACGTGCTCTGAGACGTCCAGCTATGAGATAGTGATCGGAGTCAATATTTGTACCTCTATAATTTCTGCAGTCTAGTATATCTGATCCATGTCTTAAATCAATCAGTACGTGGTCTATCTGATTTTGGGTCTGATGATCTGGCGATGTCCACGTCACTTTATGTATACGTTTATGTTGAAAGTATGTGCTACTGATCGTCATGTTCAGAGATGCTGCGAGATTTACAAGTCTCGTCCCATTATCATTACATTCTTTGTGTATGCTGTAAGGTCCTATGGTTGGTCTGTACATCTCCTCTTGTCCTACCTTGGCATTCATGTCTCCGATAATCAAACTTATCGTCATTATTGGGACACTGTCTATATGTTTGTTCTAGTTTCTCATAGAATTCTTCTTTTTCTGTGTCTGTTTTATCCTCAGTGTATCCTGTATCACTGTATCCTTTAGCTACAGTTTATAAGACTGTAGCTAAAGAATGTTCCACGTATTCTTAGAACACATATTCTATGATCTATAGCGTCAAAACCTATTATTAGGCTATTAACTCTTTTGCTAACTACAAAGCCTACCCCAAAGATATGTTGAGTTTGGCGGCAGCTATAATATATGGTATTCAGATTCTTCTGGAGAGTACCGGTCCCTTTCCATCGCATCTCCTGTATAGCTGTTATGTCCATATTATATTTGTTAAGAGTGTCTAAGAGACACCTCATCGCTCCTGCAGAGTACAATGTTCTCACGTTCCATGATCCAAATCGAATATACTTTTTTCTTTTGCGAGATCGTCTACATAAGGTCCGTCCGGTTTTTGTTTTTTCAGCTTTCGTAACAATTCTTTTTTTCCAGGGTAGGGTTGTTAGCCCTACGCCCAACGCCCAGACTTGAAGGACCAGAGACTCTTCTGTTAGGGTTACCATACCTTAGTCTGTTTTGGTTCGCGGGTGGTATTTTATTTCCCACCTACCCGCCGATCGTGGGACCGGTTAGGGCGTTCCCCTATCCACCACCTGGGGACGCGTCCGATGGGAGACAGACACTCCACACGGATACTAAAGTACATAGCAACCGTTAAAATATTTAAAAATAACTCTATCTTTTATAAACTTATGTTAGCAATCGATTTTATAGAGGACGGGGTATTTTTTTATGAGTCGTAAAAATAGGACCTATGTAGATAAGCGCCAGCGACACACAGGCATATATTTTCTGTGTTTCACAGTAGATGGAGAAACGTATCGTGTCTACTCTGTAAAATCTGTTTTCGATTTTAAAAACTATCTGATGAGGTGCAATATAGGTCGAGATATATCACTGTGTAAATAAAGAATATACTTTTAGAGCAAAAAATAATTGTACATTTTTTATGATTTCAGGGCCCAGAATTAATGAAATTCCCCAACAAGAGGTTATACAGCTACAACATTCGTAACGGAGATGAAATAATTATAGACTGTAAAAAGAAACCAAGTGAATCATCTAAGTAAATACTTCAACAGCCTAATATTATTGATATATCAGAGTAATTTACAGAAATTATACGTTTTTAGAACTGAATTTATTAATATAACGCGGTATTTGGTCCTAATTACTAAAGCATCTATTGATTTAAAATGTTTGTCATTTTATTAATTTAGTTTTTATTTTTATAGTTTTATGAATGCTATGTAAAACATGAAAAGATATATTTTAGTTTAGTTGGTGAGTAATTGAGTATTTAAACGTTGGAATAGTTAGAATTTATAATAGTCATTATGTCTGTAAAACATTATTTAGTAAAGTATTTTTTCATAAATAAGAAACAATATGGGGCAATAACTGTAAGATTTAAATTTAAAATTAAGCGTGATAGATTAAGTTAAATGGATATTTTAATAAGTATTTCATTAAAAAATCAAGCCTGCAGAATGGTATGTAAAATATACTTGGTAGATCTCAAATTTTCGTGAACATGGAAAGAACGCGAAAATAAATAATTGATATACTGAGCACATTCTTAAACCAATGAAATAATAATGCACAAAGTTGCTTGTCATTTTCACATTAAAGCATATTCCATACGACCACCAGAGATACCTCAATATATTTCATAGGCATACTTCACGGTATACTTGGTAGTCTACGTCCACGGTACCGGTATTATTCTGTTAAAATACAGATGACTTTTATACAGATTGAACGAATTTAAAACGGATCATACAATTTAATATATATCTGTTTGAACTGCATTTGAAATAGTGGACTAATATAAAACTTGGACAAAAATAAATCCATACCCGGTGTTAGACATTGTATAAAATATCGTTCAACTATCCGTCTCTTTTTAGAACGCACCATAGTCTAGAGCGCAGCTCAAAGTCAATGTTGCCAATCGCCGTGTAATAATCGATTTGCAAATGATCGATTTGCATGAGAGTTATATCTTCTTCGTATCTTTAAATAAATCGAATATTTGCCTATATTTTTCATTATATTTACCAATCTACTACAACAGACTAATAACAAAAATAAACTTAATGGTTTGTAGTTATTTCAGAAGTTTGTAGTTATTTTAGAAACATTTAGTGGAATGATATTGGCAACACCGCTCAAAATCTCCATCTCCGATAAACGAAAGAGGGGCTTGCCTAAAGGCTTCCACTCACGCTACAGCAGCGTTGTTCAACTTCGTTTTTAACTAAACACTTGGTTTGATCATATTATAGATTTTTTAAGAGAATTTTTTAAGAGAGTTTTTTAAATTATATAAAAAACAAGAATGCTATAGCGAATAAAAGGTAAAACGTATCACGATAGAAACGCCCGAAAACAGGCAATGGACATTCTAGTTTTAAAGTTCCAAGAAGTAAACAAAGATGCGAATGAAGAGGATGTAAGAAAAAAAAATAACAATTTTAGAACATCCTATAAAAGAGAATTAAAATTAGCAGTTCAGTCCAGTAAATCGGATGCAGGGGCAGACGAGATTTATTTTGCACCAAAATCTTGGATTCTTTGCACCAGAATCTATATACAAACAATTTATACACAAAGTCTTCTTCTTCTTAAGGTTCCATCTTCTAACGAAGGTTGGATATCAACATGGCAATTCTTATTTTACTTACAGCAGCTCTAAATAGTTGGCTAGAGCTCAGACTAAACCATTCCCTTAGATTTCGTAGCCAGGAGGTTCGTCTTCTTCCTACATCTCTTTTACCTTTTATTTTGCCCTCTATAATCAAACGTAGTAGCCCATAACGAGGACCTCTTAATATATGACCGAAATATTCAAGTTTCCGCCTCTTAATTGTATGTACAATTTCTTCCCTCTTATTAACCCTATCAAGGACTTCAATATTGGTAATTTTGTCTACCCATGCTATTCGTAGCATCCTTCGATAACACCAACGCTCAAAAGCTTCCAATTTCTTAATCTCCAGTTGTTTCAATGTCCATGCCTCAGATCCGTAGAGCAAAGTTGTAAAAATGTAGCAGCGCAATAACCTTATCCTTAGATCCATTCTTAGGTCTCTACTACACAATAGATGTTTCATTTTTACAAATTTTGCCCTTGCTATTTCTATACGGCTTTTAATCTCTTGCGTTTGTTCTGCGTTTTGACTAACCAATGTTCCTAGATATTTGTATTTATCTACCCTTTCTATCTGGATATTATTAATATGGAGTGTCTCGTTGTCTTTTGGATGTTTTGTAATGACCATGAATTTTGTTTTCTTTAAGTTCATTTTAATACCATATATGGTACACTTTTCATTCAGCCGTTCCAGTATGTTTGTTAGACTTTGCAGAGTTGAAGTGAATATGACAGTATCATCGGCATATCTTATATTATTAATAATTTCACCATTTATTATCATTCCATCGTTACACTCTCCTAAAGCTTCTTGGAAAATGGCTTCGCTATATATATTAAACAGCAGTGGTGACAATACACAGCCCTGTCTCACACCCCGAAGAATTTCTATTTCTTCCGACATTTGATTTTCAATTCTTATTTTGACTTTCTGGTTCCAGTAGAGGTTCGAGATTACTCTGATGTCGCGGCTATCGATGTTTTTCATTTTTAAAATATTAATTAGTTTATTGTGCTGTACCTTGTCAAATGCTTTTTCAAAATCAATAAAACATGTATACATGTCTTGGTTCATATCCAGATTTCTTTGCATGAGCACATTTATACCGAACAATGCTTCCCTGGTTCCCGTGCCGTTTCTAAAGCCTAACTGACTATCACTAATTTCATCATCCAGCTTTCTGTAAATTCTGTTGTGGACTATTCGTAGAAATACTTTCAAAACATGGCTCATTAATGCAATTGTACGGTGTTCTGAGCATTCTTTTGCATTTTGCTTTTTGGGAATAATTACGAATGTGGATACTAACCACTCCTTTGGTAAAATACCTGTTTGATAAATATGATCATAAAGTTCTACTAGAATGTCTATCATTTCATCATCGATCAGTTTAAGAAACTCAATCGGGATTTCATCCGGACCTGTGGCCTTTTTCCCTTTTGTCTGTTTTAATGCGTATTGAACTTCCTGTTTTAAAATTTTTGGTCCCGATTCACCAGAGTCCTCATCTATGATTTGTTGTCTGTCATCCCCGAATAGTTCTTTTATGTATTCTGTCCATCTGTTTAGTTGTTGTTTTGTATCTGTGAGAATGTTACCATTCGAGTCTTTTATAACATGTATATTATTTTGTTTTCCCGACGTCATTTCCTTCACTTTCCGATGAATATTGAAACTATCATATTTCTTTTCATATTCTTCTATTTCGTGACACTGTTCAGTTAGCCATCTTTCTTTTGCTGTTATTATGTCTTTTCTAATCCTGCTGTTTAAGGATTTGTATTTGCTAGTGTTTATGTTTTTATATTTTCTTCTTTCATTCATGAGAGTTAGTATTTCGTCTGTCATCCACATATGTCTTTTCTTTGGTATTGGTCCACGTATTTCTTCTCCCGCTTCTTTTAAAGCTTGTTGAACCTCTCTCCAATTTTAATTTACGTCTTTAGAGTTGGTGTTTTTTGACTTGATGGGTTTAAGATTATCATTGATTTTCTGTCTAACTCTTTGTTCTATCTGAGTATCTTTTAATCTTGTCACATCGAATTCTTTTCTAATCTTTTTGTTTTTTAACTTTTTTAATTTTGCTTCCATTTCGACAATAATAGGGAGGTGATCCGAGTATATATCGGCACCTGGATAAGTTTTTGCTGATTTTATTGAATTTTTAAACCTATTTCTGATCAAGACAAAGTCTATTTGGTTTCTGACGATGTGTGATTCTCGGTCTGCTGGTGATTTCCACGTGTATAGTCTACGTTTAGGTAGATCAAATAAGGTATTTACTATAACCAGATCTTCATTTTGGCAAAATTCTAAGAGTCTATCTCCACGTTCATTTCTAACGCCCAATCCAATACACAAAGTAAGAGACGCTAAAATGATTGTTTGATTTGACATGGTCGAGAACCGAACAAATACTGCGGCGCAGTATGGTGTGTGGGCGCACTAGATATACTCAACATATACAATACTAGAACAACGCCTCTGTCCAATTATGTCGAACGATACCGCTGTACCGTGAGTGGCCGGCTTTAGGAAGCGATAGGTGGTTTGACCACCTATGAATGAGTTCTTGAATTAGTTCAGAATCCAGCAGCCCGCTGAAAGTATTGGATTTTTATAATATAATTATTTGACAACCTTTTGTTGGCCAACCGCCTACAGCAGAATAGAGCCGAAATACATAATATTTCGTATGTTCCGAATTTATTTCGTTCAATCTGTAGGTATAGCTAATTGAGGGAGTAAAAGAAAGCAAGTTCTGTGGCCATTGCATGGGATCGTGCTTCCATACGCTTCACTTAGCATCCATTATTAGCTTTAATGACTTTTATAAGTTAGTTTAAAAATAAATGATATTTATATATTGATAACTTCCTGAAACGTGTACTGGGGCACCTTGTGCATTTTGCTCTATAATAGATGCAGACAGCATGCCCTCTCCTAAGGTCAGGTTCCTTCAAACAATTTTCAAAAAATTGAATTTTTTTTTAATTACTAGAAAGTAATCTTTGGAATAAGGTCTGCGCGACCTTGAAGTATGTTGAGAATAGTAACTTCAATCCAGCTATTCAAGCGGACCGGGTGACAGCAGCTGTTTACTTTAATGGGCTTTTCTCAAAACTACGTTTTTTCAACTGAGTGTCATTCGTATTGACTCGTATTGAAACTATTACACTTATCAAGATGAAACAAACGGCATTTTACTCTTTAGACGTCTCTCTATAGTCGGTGCTACAACCAATTCGATACAGAATATCAAACCATTTAGTTTTTTTTTTGTTTTTGGATGATTATTTCCCAAGAATTGATGACAACTACCAACAAATTGGATGAATTTGGGCATCCATTTTCAGAGCCGCCATTTCAAAAAGGAGACTACTAGACGCCTCTAGGAGGTCTAAGTGTC